GTTTAGATAACCTTGAATTATTGAGGACTCAATTGAGTTTTGGGATTGATTATTATGCATACATGTTTTTCAATTTGCAGGTTACATTCCTTATTCCGAATCTTTAAACTATGTCAAATCCTAAACGCCCTAGGACCTCGTCTAGTCATTCAAACCGACCTCCTAATCCCTTTCCTCCTCCACCTACATCTCTTATAGGATCCTGTTTTGATATGCCTGAATGTCGTAGAGACGACTTGTACCATAGGTACATGGAGTCTTTCCAATCTTATAGAATCCGAGAATAGCATATTCATTCTCTTCAAGCCATGATAGATATTGACTTCAAATACCTTCTGATTCTTAAAACTTGGAAGTTTGATAAAATGTTTCACCTCAAACCTATCGTCTATCATCAGTTAGTCCGCATTTTCTACTCTAATGCGGTATATATTCAAAACAATACTCAATGTGGGACTATAGCAATCAGATCATATCTTTTAGGACAATATATTAATATTGACCCCGAGACTATAGCTTTCTGTTTTGGGCTAGATGATGATGGGTTATATAATGAGAATGAAACTGTGGAATATCCCTATGTTCCAAACGCTAGTGTTAGTACTCTATGATCTCATCACGATCGTTTTCTTCATTTTATGATCTATTGGTGGTTTAGACCATCCGGAGGTAGGTACTCCACTCTTCGTACTAGGGATTTATGGTGGATGCACTGTATCAAGAATAAGAACAAAATAAATATGCCCCACATTATATTTAGTCAACTAGTGGATACCATAAACATTGTTCCTTCAAAGCATGTCGAAACATTAGTTTATGGATGTCTTCTTAGTAACATTTTTATCAAACTCGGTCTAAACTTCTCTCTCGATAATCCCATCCCTCTCCAAAATCAAATCAATGTCACATCGTTCAAGAAAGCGGATTGGAAATAAGACGAGGAAATCGGTCTTTGGGTCTTTCGACCCTGTAAGCAAACTCCGAGAGCTAGTTCTTCACGAGATGCTCCTAGCTCATCTTGCGCTCCTTCTCCTCCTCCGGCTCTGGCTGCTGACAATGATCCTAAACTTCAACAGCTTATGCAAGATATCAATGATCACGTACCAGATGATGAGCCTGCACCGGAACCAGTTCCACAAGAGGATCAAGTGCCTCCATATTTTCGTTCGTTTTTGGAGACATTTGATTTACGATATGCTTTCATCGAATCCCACTTGACTGCTACTCACGAAGCGGTAAATCATCGCTTAGACACTTTGGAAGCTCGACAGATGGAGTTTCAAAGGGAGATGCTTGCACGTATGGATGCTCTTACTCTTGAGATGCAAGCACGATTTCCTCCTCCTCCTTCTGATCCTTCTATGGACGAGTAGACTTTGTTTTGTTTTGGAACAACTTAGAACTTTAATTGTTAAAACATTTTGAATGCTTTGGGATTGTATTCTTTAGTTTGACATTTATTTGGATTTATGATTTATATGTTTGGATATTTAAGCTTATTATCTATATTTGGTTTGGTTTTAACGATCAATTTGAGCTAAATGTTTATTAATTTTTTCATCATTAGACATATATGACCAATTATCCTTTACATGTTTATGAATATTGTTTATGAAAACTAATGGCTAATCTCTCTTTTGATTGTGAACTTAGCAGCTTAAACGTTAAAATAATAACTCAATTGATGTATATTTTTCAAACCTTGTTTAATAACGTTTTAGAGTCTTTCTGATTTAACAAAAAAGGGGGAGAAAAGTGTTAGAGTAAGGGGGAGTAATTTTTCAAAAAAAATTCAAAATTAATTTCAAAAATAATTTTCTTAAACAAATCTTAAAATTACACAAATGTTTTGTTATATCAAAAAGGGGGAGATTGTTGAAAACATTTTGATGTTTCGATATAACAAATTAAGTATAAATGAATTTTAAGATTTTACAAATGATTTTCTAAGTATATTCGATTTAATTACTCGAATATCAAATTATTACTCCAAGTCTTTCAAGATTAATTTCAAACCTTACTAAATGTATAAAATTGTGTTTTATACTTAATATATTTTTGAAACAATTTTCATAAAGTATTTTGAACCAAAATCAAGCCTAAAATCATTTTTTCAAAGTGATGCACCGATGCACCAATCCATGCATCGATGCACCATGGAATAAATTGAACATTGAATGCATTTGATGCATCGATGTACTCAGGGTTTTATGAAAACATCGAATGCATCGATGCACTCAGGCTTTTTCAAAACATCGAATGCATTTTATGCATCGATGCACTAAGTGTTCCAACGGTTAAAATATTTGAATTTTACACTTGATGCACCAATGCATCATGTGTATGCATCGATGCACGCACGCTCCTAACCAGTTTTATTAATTGTTTTCACACTTAAACGACTCTATTGACTCCACTAATCATCCCCAACGTTCAAAATCAATTGAAGGAGTATTTAAACAAGCTTAGAAGCCATTGATCAATAACAAGAAATAACAAGAAACAAGAATCAAGTGAGAATCAAAGAGAAAGCATCAAACTCATTTTTTGAGCACTTCAAGCCTATTTTTCATTCAATATTCATTTTGCTTTCAAGAACACTACTTGTACTCAATTGTATTCATTCTTGAGTGTTCTTTTCTTTGTTCTAGAATTGTGCAAACAATTTACCTTGTGAGGTTTTTCCTTGTAAGTTTGAAAATTTGTGTATTTCTCTTTGAGAAAGAGTGTTATCAAGAATTGGAGTATATTCTTGAGGGAGTTGTAAGGTTATCTCTTTGGCCTCAAAAGAAAGAACAAATTAGTGAATTTGTTGGAAAATCCTTAGTGTGGATAGCTAAGGTAGTGGACGTAGACTTTGGTTGAGAAAGTCGAACCACTCTAAATCGCTGTGCAACTTCTTTCAATTTTCTGCAAAAGCTTCCACCAACTTTTTAATTGCCAATTCACCCCCCTCTTGGCCGATTCCGTCAATCGATTAACTCAACACAATCTTCTTACCACGAGCAATGACGAGTGCTCCTTTGGTAATCTTCCATTCACAGCCTGAAAATGTTGTACTATATCCTTCTCCATCAAGCTGTCCTACAGAAATCAAATTTCTTTTGAGGCCAGGAATATGTCTCACTCCTTTCAGCTTCCATGTGGTCTGGTTTGGCAACTTTAATTGGATGTCTCCTTTTCCGACGATCTTCAAGGTTTCATCATCAACTAGATGAACCTTCCCAAAATCACCACTGACATAGTTCTCCATGATTTCTTGGCATGGGGTGGAGTGGAAAGATGCCCCTGAATCCAATATCCATGATTCAATCGGACTGTTGATGCTTAGAATCATGGAATCACCTGTCTCCTCTGTCATGTTGGCAAATTCCTATGCGCCCGTATCTTTCTTTGGTGCTCGTTAATCTCCTTTAAAATGACCCTTATTGTCGCAATTATAACAGGTAAAATCTTTCTTTCCCGTTCTTGATTTTCCCATTCTAGATTTTGATCTGCCACGATTTGAATTTCTTTATGAAGTTCTCCCTCTAGACTCTGTCTGCAAGGATGAGGAGCTTGATGCTTTACCCGATTCTCTCCGTCGAAATTCTTCACTCAATCGAACATTGTCGAATTTTAATTTGCTTTTTCCCGATGATCTGCTGACTGCTGTAACAGTAGCATTCCAGCTGTCTGGTAGAGATGATAAGAGAATTAAAGCTCGAACTTCATCATCGAATTCAATTTCCACGGAACTCAACTGGGTTGTGATTGTGTTAAGTTCATTTAGGTGTTGAGCCATTGATGCCCCTTTTGTCATCCACAAATTGAATAATCGCCTCATTAAGTGAACTTTGTTTGAGGCTGATGGCTTCTCATACATACTAGAGAGAGCCGCCATAAGACCTGCCGTGGTCTTTTCCTTTGCTATGTTAAAAGCAACATTTCGAGACAACGTCAGTCAGATAACTCTGAGGGCTTGTCTGTCGAGAAGAGTTCAGTCTTCATTCTTCATCTCCTCTGGTTGCTTTCCTGAGAGAGGTTGATATAGATTTTTCTGGTAAAAAAAATCTTCAATCTGCATCTTCCAAAAGCCAAAGTCCGCACCATCGAACTTTTCAATTTTCACCTTCCCTTCGTCTGCAACCATTGCTCCCACTCGAATCTGGCTTCGTTTGGATCGTTTTTGACAATTCTTGCGAGCCACCGTGTATTAGAACACCTTCATCGACAAATTCGTATCACCGACAAAATTTTTACTATTCACTAAATTTAATATTCATGTGAATAGTAATAAATAGTAATCTAACAAAAAAATTGACAAAATTCACAACCAAAAGCTCTGATTACCAGTTGTTGGGAAATAAACAAGAAATTTCCCTATAATCATATTAGTGAGAATGCGAAATAAAAGCGGAAAAATAATACCCGAAATTGATAACAGAATTCAGCCAATTATGCCTACGTCTCCGGACTGCTATAGATCTTTTACTAAAGAGAGAAAATTTTCAGGTATTTACAAAACACTCACAAGAAAACTCTTTAAACTCTTTGTAGTGGAGAAAGAAATGATTTGAGATGATTTTGAAGCTAAATGGATTAGAGTATTTATAGTTGAAGCTTAAGGACTAATCTTATAAATACCCTAAAGTGTGTAGGGACTAAAATATAATTAATCCTATTACATAAAAAATAAAAAATTATGGCACCGAATTCGGTGCCCATTTGCCCCTGCATCTTTGTTTAACTTTACAAATATAACAAGAAAAACTAGGGAAATTTAAATTATGAATAGTTGTTACAAGGAGCGGCTATAGGCAATTTATTATCTAACTAGCTGAAAGAAGAAAATATTTAATCAAACAAAGCTGAAACCTGAAATTGCAGAGATGATTTAAATACTAGAGTCGTCCTCGGGACGATTGGAAAGCTCAACTAATTTGATTTGGGTTTTGACAATTTCTTTCTTTCTTTTTTCTTAATTTTCTTAATGTTAGAATAGAAGTAAAAAGCAAGCTTCAGAGCGAGAGAACAAGAGACAAACCCTTCTCTGCTTTAAACTTCTCCCAAAAAATTACTACCAAAATCTCCAAAATAAGCAATTGAATGACCATCACCATGCCTAATATAGTAAAGATGATGCATAAAAACACTATTCCTATTCCTCCCACGAAATAACCCTGCCATAATATTGCACTAAAAACTGCAATCATGTAATATTTCAGTTCTCCCTGCTCGAATATAACTGAAAAAACTCCGCTAAAAATCTATTTTTATGTAGTGAATTCTTTTACCTTCCTTCTAATTGCCAGCACCCAAAAATCAATGTATAAGTTGTCTCGAGTATTTGATTTAATTGGATTAGAAAAGGAATAAGTACCTCAAAATCATTGTTAATGGGCATGTCGATGGTGCAAAAGGCAGTAGCGAACACACTTGTCACCAGCTGAATCTCCAGCACAAGAGTGTAGGTGATTTCTTGGTTTGCCGTCTGGTACATTAATTCCATCAAAGACAATACCAATCCATACAAAACCGTTGCTGCTAAGGTCATTAAGAATCGTATTGTATATTTCCTGGTAGATTCAGTCTCTGTCTCGTTACTACTTGCAGGCATAACCAAAATACCTGCCCCTATTGTTAACAAAAACACAACGTTTATGGAGTAAGCATTGAACTTTTATTGCATCAATAGAAAACAAAACGCCACAGTGAAAGTCAACTATGAGGTCAGGATTAAATTACAGGACGAAACGGGAAGAAAAACCACGCTATAGGCGAAAAAGTAGTTGTCAAGGACCATGAGGATTCCGATAATGGCGAAGGGCATGAACAATTGCAATTTCATGTAGAAAAGCTTGTTTTTCGACATGGGCTCGACCGTCCTAGAATGTTAAATGTAAGAACCAGCGTTGATGAGAAAGTAGATGGGCCAAGCTGCGGTCTAGAGGCAACTTGAGAACCGGATTCGTTTCCCGTCATGGAGGAAGTAGACGCACGATACAAGCGAACCACCGTTGTTGCCTATAATAAGGATGATGCAATTTATTGCTAGCAGAATTGTTTTGGTTTTATCTTCATGTTTAGGTGCGTTCCACTCCATTGATTTATTACACAAAAATATGGTGTTTAAATTCTATATTTTTTGTATTTGCATATTTGTTTCTACCCACTCTTTTAAAACACTGAATATTAGAAGTTTATTAAGGAGGATATTTCTAGAATAAGGAACTTAAGGAATAAATAAGGGCAAAAGAAAAGTATCCGTTAGATAAAAGAGATTCAAAATATTTGATTTGAGTCGTTGAATGTGAGAAAAGAAAATTGAAAAACCGACAGAATAACGTCTCCAATTAAGGAAAAAGGGTTTTCCACCGGTAGATTAACCTCCCAAGTTCTGAATAGAAATATCCTGTCCTATTTTACACTATTTTACTGCCCACGTTATTATATTAAAAACTCCCATAAATTATTTTTTTAACATTAACCCTTTAACAGAGTAGTTAGAAAAATACACCTAAACTATCATTTAGAATAACCTAGCATTATGCAGAGAGCGAGGTCGGACTTCGCATTTTACAAAACAAAAGTTTCATGCATTTATTATATTCTTTGTCTAATATTAAATGACTTTATCTGGAAAAGTTGATGTATCTCGCGTCCCATAAAATGCGAGATCCATTAAACGTGTTTTATAGGACGTGAGATAGTCCTACGTAAATAGTTTGGGTTATTTTTCTAACAAATCTACTAAGGGGTTAATGTTAAAAAAAATAATTTACAGGGGGTTTTATATAATAATGCTTCCTCTCTATGCCTCTTATATTTAAATTGTAACAGTACGTGTGTTTCTCAACAAATTGTTTTACGTCTTGCTTGACAGTAAAAATTGACGTTAGTCTAAGCTGAACATTAACATATTGATTGAGATATGATAAAATTTGACCCTAGAATCTCAAACGACTATCATATTCTAATCAACATGTTAACATCCAATTTAGACAACCATCAAATTTTTTAACGGAAAATAATAAGTCTTAAACATATGAATAGTCGAGTAATTATTTTGTAACTTTTAATAGTTGAGGGACTCAACAAAGCAACATCATATAATTAGATGATCATTTTATAATTTTTAATAGTTGTGGAGCTCAATAAAGCACCACCCTGTACTTGGGGATCATTTGTGTATTTTACCTTATTTATAATTATTTTTAAAAATAAATTTTATTAAATTTAAAGTTGAAATCTCAATACTTCCCAAGTGTATAAAAAACTATAATAACTAGGGAAATTTAAATTACGAATAGTTGTTACAGGAACTAGGTATAGGAAATTTATTATCTAACTAGCTGAAAAGAAAGAAAAAAATCTATTTAATCAAACAAAGCTAGAACCGAAATTGCAAGGATGATCTAAACACTAGAGTCGTCCTTGGGACGATTGGGAAGCTCAACTGATTTGGTTTGGGTTTCAGGAGTTTCTTTCTTTTTCCTTGTCTTAATTTTTTTCAGGTCAGGATGGAAGTATGAAAGGAAGCCCCAGAGCGAGAGCACAAGGGACAAACCCTTCCCTGTTTCAAATTTCTCCCGGAAGAAAATCATTGCCAAAATCTCCAAAATAGGCAAATGAATGGCCATCACCATGCCTGATAACGGAGATGAACCACAAAACACTGTTCTTATTCCTCCCAGGAAATAACCCTGCCACAATATTGCACTAAAAATCGCAACCATGTAATATTTCGTTTCTCCTAACTCGAATTCCTTTGCCTTCCTTCCAATTGCCTGCACCCCAAAAATCAATGTATAAGTTGTCTCAAGTATTTGGCTTCATTGGATTAGCAAAGGAATAAGTACCTTGAAATCATTGTTAATGAGCATGCCGATGGTGCAAAAGGAAGTAGAGAACACACTTGTCACCAGCTGAATCTCCAGCAGCGTAGGTAATTTCTTGATTTGCCTTTTGGTACATTAGTTCCACTAAAGGCAATACTAATCCATAGCCGCTGCAGCTAAGGTAATTCAGAACCCTATTGTGTATTTCCTGGTAGATTCATTCTCAGTCTCACTGCGGCTCGCAGGCACAGTCAAAATACCGTGAAATCCAACTGCGAAGCGAGGATTAAATTACAAGTCGAAACGGGAAGAAGAGCCACGCCATAAGCAAAAAAGTAGTTGTCAAGGCCCGTGAGGATTCCGATGACGACGGAGGGCATGAAAAATTGTGGTTTCATACAGAAAAGCTTGTTTTTCGATGCGGGTTCGGTCGTCCTAGAACGGTAAATGTAATAACCAGCAATGATGAATAAGTAGATGGGCCAAGCTGCAGTCTGGACTCTGGAGGAAGCTCGAGAACCAGATCCGTTTTCCCCCATGGAGGAAGTAGACGCGCGATACAAGTGAACCGCCGCTGTTGCCTGTAGTAAGGATGATGCAGTTTATTGCCAGAAGAATTTTTTTTCATAGTGGTATCTTCAGGTTTAGATTCCTTCCCCTCCATTGATTTATTACACAAAAAATATTGTGTTTAAATTCTGTTTTTAATATTTTTATATTTGTTGCTACCACTCTGTAAGAACACAGAATTTTAGAGGTTTATTAAACAAGATATTTCTAAAATAAGCAACTTAAAGGTCATATGAAAAGTAGCCGATAGATAAGAGAGATTTAAAATATTTGTTCTGAGCTGTTGAATGTTAGAAAAGAAAAAGAAAAAAACCAATAGAATAGCATATCCAATTATGCTCTATGAGTAAAGACTTAAGAGCATAGAAATTTAAGAGAAAAAGGCTTTTCTACCGATCACCCTCCCACCTCCCAAGTTCTTGTTACAAATCTAACATCATTTTCACTTTATTTTAGGGTATAACACTTTAAATTATGGATATTATTAGGACGGATTTCAAGGGTTTATCTCACTTTGTATTTAATTAAATAAGTATATATTTATAGGTAGAGAAACAAATACGAAGATGGAAAATAGATTCGTCGTAAGTAATAGAACAAATTTTATAATTTTATACTCGTCTGATCTCTATTCATCTCATCTCATTATTATGTTTAAATATTATATAAAGATATTATTTTACTTCTAATTCTTTTTGAAGATATATTAAAAATATATTATGCAAATGAAGAAAAACTTTGAATTTCCAAGGTGTGACGAGGCAAGGTAGACCAAATCACTGTTGATTTATGACAGCAGCCCATATGCACCCCATCATTTTAATGATTTGACAAAGAAACCTAATAAATTTGGGTAGTTATACTGCAGCGCTTTAATATAAAGTTAAAATAAGATATTATTGATTTTTTTATTATTTAAATAATAAAATCAGTAAAAAATTATCGGTAATATTATTTTTACTTAAAACATTATTTTTTAATATTTTCGGTCAATTTTTTAACGTTTAGTAATGTTTTTGATTATTTTTAGCGCCTAATAATATTTTCGGTCATTTTTTCGAAAATCTGATTAAAACCCCAATAATAATAAAACCAATTATTTTTAAGACATAATAATATTTTCAGTTATTTTTTACCGATTTTATTATTTAAACAATAATAAAATCGATAACACCTTATTTTAACCTTATATTAAAGTTGCCACATATGAGCGTTTCCAACAAATTTTAACTTTACCAAAAAGGTAAAGCAAATCATAGTGCCTCGTAATGAAATACAAACCTAACAAGAAATAAGCGACTTGCACTACACGAACCGAAATTTCATTGCCGATGTATTGGCAGGATACTGAGCCAAATGCAAGATAAATTATTTCATTGACCTCACTCATTATGTCATCTGTAATTATAATAAATAATATGAATAAATATTATTAATTGATACCATAGGTAATACAGTAAGTCGAGATTATCTAATAATTTCTTCAAGAGAAAATAACATCAGTGACCAAAAATCCCATATAATATACGATTTTAACCAACTTTTTCCGGATTTGCCAAAATGACCAACAAAATCGCAATGCGATCGCTAATTCGCAACACGATCTCCATTATCGCAAATTCGCGTTGCATTTCGCGTTGCGATAGTTGAAAATCGCGTTGCGATGGTCTACAGTGTCGTTGCGATTTTCCCAATTCGCAATTCGAATAAGTAAATCGCAACGCGAATTAGGAAAATCGCAATGCGATACTGACTATCGCAATGCGATACTTACTATCGCAATGCGATAATACAAAATCGCAACGAGATACTGACTTTCGCAAAGCGATTCTGACTTTCGCAACGCGATTCTGACTTTCGCAACGCGATAATACATAATCGCAATGCGATTTTCAAAGCGCCATTAGTATCCTGGCCAAGTATTTTATTTTTAAATTCCAAACACGAATATTAATATATTGGAACACTGAACCGTCCACAATATATCTCGTAATCGCAACTCATAACCTAAAACCTAAAATCACAACTTAGTCCCATCTCCATCTCTCACTCTCTCACCCATCTCCGACGAAATCCGTCCCCATCTCCGGCGAAATCCGTCTATCTCCATCTCTCAGAGCCACCCTCACAATCAGAAATGGAAAATCAACCAAATCAACCAACGAGGGTTAGTTTTTTAATTATTTTCTTTTTGAAATTTTTGCATTATCATTAGGTTTTTCATATTGAAATTGATGATAAGTTTACTGGTAATTTCAATAATAGATTAACCATTTCACTTAGATTGCTTATTAAATCAACCGAGAATCGCAACGCGAAATGCAAATCGCAACGCGATTTTAGTTTCGCGTTGCGATTCTCTCGTTGCGATAGTCAAATTCGCGTTGCGATAGTCAAATTCGCGTTGCGATAGTCATTTTCGTGTTGCGATTTTCATTTTCATAAACTATTCTTCTTCTGCAAA